CAAACAAATGTGTTACTTCACATTTTTACGACACATTTTTTTTTTTGACTTGCAAAATTTACTTTTAAATTGACAAACATCATATGTGTAATTCGTGGCACAATTCAAACGGGATCGAAAGATAATCTTTCTCTCTCCATTGACTTCAATACATACTTTTTTCGAAAAAACATCCCATGGAGGGACTTCACCACTCTATACATATATATTGTTACATCAAAACAGACTCTCCTGATTGAAATTACAATAAACCCTAAAGTGATACTATAGTGCATCAGTTATTAAAGTTAGTTAAACCCGATACTAGTGATGTTACGTATTGCGCCGAGGCTTCGGAGCGTGTGTCGAGTAATCCCCGAAGCTTTTTGTGAAGCCTGTATCGAGGCTTGTATCGTTTTGGGCCAGTGACGTCATCGACGACAAACGAAGCCTCGCTGCCTGTCGATACCACGTGACTGCTTCAGGAAGCGATTCAGATCGGTTGAACCGTTGAACCACAGCGCTCATAATACCTATGGATGTCATAATAAGAACCATATTACCCCTCCTGTACCCGGGCCCGGTGACACGATGGAATTAAGAGAGCTCAGACTCTCACTTATATAGAGGTCAGAACATGTCATAAGTATAAATAGATACAAGCATAAATAAATGTAGGAATAAAAACATGAATAAATACAGGAATAAATATGTCAGTGTCAGGGAGATTCAGTGTGTGTGCTGTGGCTCAGCTGGAAAGCAGTTGACTCATGACCGCAGGGTCCCTGGTTCAACGACTGAACAATACGTCTTTTTTGTTGTTTATAAAAGCTACAGCTAAATGAGATAATGTAGTTAATAAATATATTCTTTGATATGGTTTAGCCTTTCTCCGGCTACAACATGGTTAAGTTTATGAATATTATTAAGGAATACAAATCCCTCTTTGCAATGTTTACCAGCCTCCTTAGGCTTTTCAATCACAATCATTAAACTGCAATAAATACAATATTGTTAACATGAAAATATGATTTAATGTTCGTTGTTTAGAGTTATTCTAAGGCTTTACTCATTGGGAACTCGGTATGAGATAGAGCACACTGTTGAGATGTCCAATCTGCCTATTTTACACACTTTGACCAACAGGGGGTTTGTGTTCAAATGATGCCCATGATGAAGCCTCATATATAGACATTTTTATTGATTGGGATAAACCCCTTGAGATGCACCATCTCGTTTTCAAGGGGGTCCCGACAATAGCAACAACTTAAAGACATACATAAACAAAAAGACAAAATGCAAAACATGACACACAAGACAAACCACATACAGTCTGTTAAGTAAAATTCAAGCAATGCATACAAGCATTACAATTTGAGACGGTCAAGCAAATCAGTTTCATCAATATCAGTTTCATTAATAACAAGTACAGACCAGTTGAAAGTGAGATGATAATGCATGTTTAAATAAACCCAATGATGCAAGAGATCTAATGGCAGCAGGTAAAGTATTCCAGTCAGTTGGGGCTTTGAACATGAACGCTCTTCTGACAATCAATTTTTTTGCAGAGGGGACAGAGAAATAAATCTGAACAGAATGTCTAACTTGATGATTTGGTGAGTAGGGTACAAAATACTGCTTTAAATAAGGGGGATAATTAAGATAAATACATTTAAATATCAGCTGGAGCCAATGCATGTGTCTTCTTACATTTAAAGAAGGCCATTTAAGTTGGTTATACATTGTGCAGTGATGTGTACGAACAGGACAACCAAGAACACATCTGCATAGTCTATTGTAGGCTATGTTGAGTGGAGCAAGATCTGATTTATGTGCATTTTGGTAGACAACATCACAATAGTCCATAATCGGAAGAATAAGTTGAGAAGCAATTATCTTTCGGACACTGAGCGTAAAACAATTGCGAGAGCGATGTAAAACACCGATTCCGTAATTGACTTTTTGTATTACATGATTTATATGTAGTTTAAATGAAAGTTCAGAGTCTAGCCATACACCGAGATATTTAAAGCTATCAACTTTATGCAGATAAGTGCCATCCTTACATGTTATTACTACATTAGGTTTGGATTTGAGCTTCTGCCTGGTACCAAAGGCCATGGTATAAGATTTTGATTTGTTAAGCAGTAGTTTATTGTGTGATAACCAGTCCTGTAAGATATTAACATCCGATTGAAGAGAGATCTGAATTTGTGAAAAATCTGATTTGGATGTATATATAACAGTGTCATCAGCATAAAGGTGAGTACAACAATTAATGAGACAAGAAGATAAATCATTTATGTAAATAGAGAACAGAAGTGGGCCCAGAGTTGATCCTTGGGGTACACCCTTTTGTTGGATCAACAGGTCAGACTGTTTTCCATTAACAACCACACATTGCTTTCTACTGTGAAGGTACGAGTTAAACCATAACACTGTGTTATTAGAAAGGCCAATTCCGTGAAGTTTATCCAAGAGCAGATATCGATCAACGAAATCAAAGGCTTTTGTCAAGTCAATAAAAATGGCACCTGTGAGTTCACCATCATCTGCTGCAGAGTACAAGTCATTCGTAAATGTAAGTAGGGCCGTTGTTGTGGAGTGATTAGGCCTGAAACCAGATTGAACCGGAGATAAAATATTATAAGTATTGAGATAATGTGACAGTTGATTATAAATTATTTTCTCCAAAACTTTGGAAATAGAGTAGATTATAGAGATTGGTCTATAATTATTTGTATCAAGTAAATCACCACCTTTATGTAGTGGAATGATGCGTGCACATTTCCAAATAGTCGGCAACTCACAGGTGGACAAAGACAGGTTGAACAAATCAGCAAGTGGGTAAATGAGAATATGGGACGCCAGTTTTATGAACCTGTTTTCTATACCATCGAGTCCTGCACTGCCATCCACTTTTAATTCTGTGATAGCATTATGAACGTGTGGTAGAATTTTCTTAAAAGAAAAATAACTGTTGCAGTATGAGTTACTATTAGAAATACCAGTCGACAAATAGGAGTCAGATAGTAGTGTGGAACATACATTAGCGAAATGCTGATTAAATATTTGGGCAATGGATAATGGGTCATGAATTATTGTATCAGCAGTTCTTATTTTATTAATAGAATGTTTACCTGATTTATTTAAAATAGATGTAATGCTTGGGATTCTTAAAGTCCGATGTGAGAGATTCTTTATAGTAGTTGGATTTAGCATTTCGGGTTTTGGTTTTACTCAGATTTCAAAGATGCCTGTATACTTCCCAATTGGCTATAGTTCTTAAATAACGATATATCGAGCTTGCTTTATCCCTTTCCCTAAAGAGACTGATGAGTTCAGAATTGATCCAAGGGAGATGTTGACCTTTGACCTTAACCGTTCTCACAGGTGCATGTTTGTTCATGACATCAGTGAACTCTTTATGCAGAAAATCCCAAGCATCTTGTACAAAAGGTATTAGTTGAAATCTGTCCCAATTAAGGGCAACAACATCATTAATAAATAAATCAACATTCAATTTTTTATATTGTCTGATTTTGACTAGTTTTGGAGGCAGTTTAATTAATTTGATTTTCCATACGCAATAAACAATTGAATGATCGCTGAAGCAATCCGACATGACACCAGCTTTTAAGATTCTGTCAGGGTGTGACACTTGACAGTATCCAGTCAAGCAGAGATTGGGTTCTAAGAGTGATACGAGTTGGCTCATTAATTAGCTGTTTAACATTTAGACTACTGAAAAGTTTTTTCTCTCTATCAGATGATTTATCCAACCAATTTTTGTTGAAATCACCAAGCAAGATTATTTCATTGCCGCAGGAAATGGAGTTGATAGTGTCAATGATATGGTTAAAAGACTCTGCAGGTGAAGAAGGTGGCCTATAGATGCTACCAATAGTTAAGCATTTATTTTCATGAAAAATTATTTTAAGAAAAATGCATTCAAAATGTGGAGGCTCTATAGAAGTAGCAATTAGCTCAGTCACAAGGTCAGAGGAGACATAAATAGCCACACCTCCACCCCTGCTGCATCTATCGGATCTGTAAAGCAAATAATTTGTGATTTGTAGTTCACTATCGGAAATGTTACTATTAAGCCAAGTTTCAGAGAGTGTGATGATTTTAGGTTTATGTAGAACAACCCATATCCAAAGTAAATCAATTTTGGGCAATAGGCTCCTGATATTCAAATGAATTATTTTTATACCCTTTAATTCATCCAGTCTGGAAATAATAGCAGATAATGTTCCAGTCACTTGTTACGCATACATGCGATTCATGATTGTAAAGATTGCTAGATTCAACCATTAATGTAAAACAGACATACAAAACATTCAAACACAAAAAGAAAAATACAGAAAAACACAAAACAACCTTTAAGAAGGCCCAGCAGCCCTGGGCACCAAATCCCAGAGCATTACCATGAGTAAACTTAAACATAATAAATAATTACACAGAGCTCAGTCTGCATTACGAAGAGGATAAAGAAGTCATAGCTCAAAGAAATTCGAACGAACACAAACATTATTTAACAATAACAGCCACTCGGGGCAGTATTGCAATAGTAGTAGTGGGCTCTAACGTGCCAAAGAAGAAGAAGTGACGTCAACGTCACTGTAAAATGTAAACAAACAACACAACTGAAAGAGCCAGGCGGGTGCCCACTTGTTATATAAAGTTATAATAAACACAAAAGAGAGTGTCAACAACATCTCAGCAGTCATGACACGTCACGTGAACAGGTCTCTGTTTTTAGAGAAGATGAGAAAAATAAAGAACAAGAGAAGAGAAGAGAGGAAACCGAGGAGAAAGTCACTTAGCTGCACCATCGAAGTGGATCAACATGCTACCATTAGCAGCAGCCTCATCTCTAGGGATGTTCGTCACCCAGGAGAGTTTGAGGTAGACATGAAGACTGCCTCCGCGTCTTTGTGGGTAGAAAATAACCTTTTGCGAACCAATTGGCTGGAAAGCTTCAAAGCTTCATCTCGCCATCACTACCCGATACTCACATTTATCAGTTACTCCTGACGTGCTGCTTTCTCTCTGAGACCGGACCGACATTTTCTTTGTTTCCTCGTCACCGGCGCGCATTGCATCCTGGGATACGGTAGGCTGCGAGGAAGAGGACTCTTCAAATCCGGGAAAAGAAGAAGTCCGCATTCAAACCCGCCCCTCCCCCCTCTCTTCTGTCTGTCCCAGAATCAGAAGTCCTTTATTGGTCCCACAGAGGGACATTAACATGGTTACAGCAACAGTGGAGATAGATGCTGCTCCCAGACCGTAGTGGAGGAATACAGGGGAGGACTCTCTGCAGTCTTCCCGGACTGAAGCACCAGGCTTCGGCTTCAATAACCCACTCTGAAATGAGGCAGACAGGCAGGCTGTTCCTTGGGAGGTCCGCTGTGTTTCCTCAGGACTTTGTTATACAGCTAACTGGAGACAGACTGATCACTGCTGCTACTCCTGCTCTCTTCCGGACACACACTACGCTCGCTCTACACATGCACGCGCCACACACCCCTCTCTCTCTTAAAGGGAAAGGCGACCCCACTCTGCTATTATTGGACAGAGAGAGAGAGAGAGAGAGAGAGAGAGAGAGAGAGAGAGAGAGAGAGAGATAGAGAGAGAGATAGAGAGAGAGATAGAGAGAGAGAGAGATAGATAGAGAGAGAGAGAGATAGAGAGAGAGAGAGATAGAGAGAGAGATAGAGAGAGATAGATAGAGAGAGAGAGAGAGAGAGAGAGAGACTTAACAAATTGATACGTTGGATCAACTCAAAACAATTTTGCTAATTTGTTACAGCTAAAAATATATATATTTACATTCACACAAAGCAAACATTGTTAAATAAATACAAATTAATACTTCCAGTGGAGTGGACTGAGGAGGAAGGGTGATCATTTATGTTATTATAAAATGTGTTTATTTGGCATATAATACTATAATAACTGATATTAAATACACTGATAATTATACACCCGTCAATGGCAAAAATAGGTAATTAATAAAGAAATAATTTCAAGCAGACTTCCATATTTGCCTTGGTACTTCCTGTTTAAATGTAATTGGGCTGTTACAGACCCCCCTCAGCTGTCAAGGACTCCTTGTCTTCGTTGGCAAATATTTTATCTCAACTAGACTACAAGGAAATAGTGCTATTTGGTGATTTTAACTGGGACTGGTTAACTGCAGTATCAGAGGATTTTAAAAACCATTGTATCTCATTGAATGTTACTCAGATTGTTGACAGTCCTACTCACCCTAACATTAAGTCCCCAAATAAATCCTCCTTACTTGATCTCATTCTAACTAATGTTCCCCATAAATACTCGTCTGTGGGAGTATTTGCTAACCACTGTGTTGTAGCCACAATTAGGGACACAAAGGTCCAAAAGGGTAAACCTCACATTATAATAAAGAGAGACACAAAACATTTTGTGGATCAGGGTTTTGTACATGATCGTTCGGTTTTGATTTGGGAACAATTGATGTGTGTGCTGATGTTGAAACTGCCTGGTCTTATTTGTATCTTGGTTTTATGGAAATTATTGATAGACATGCAACCCTGCGTACATTTAGAGTGAAGGGACAATCCTTGGTTTTCTGCTGAATTATCTAGTCTCCTACATGAGAGAAACAAGGCCTGGGCAAAGGCTAGAAAATCAGGCTCAGAGGTAGAATGGCTACGCTTTAGGCAGCTAAGAAATAGCTTCACATCACAAATAAAAAGTGCTAAGTCTAACGGCCCGTCCACACAGCGGCGTGCGTTGAAGCTTCCAACGCTTCTGCCCATTCACTTTGAATGGGGTGACGTCACTTTTAGCCACACTGCATTTTGGGAAGCAACGTGGAGCGTTGCTGGCTTCAAAAGTTGAGCAATGTTCAACTTTTGACGCCTCGATGGAGGCGTCAGCCAATCGAATCATATGCCAGTACAAGCTCGAGCCAATCTAACCGCGTGCTTGTGTGTCTGGGGCGGGAGATTCATGTGATTGGTTGTTGGTCGAATGTCAGACACGCCCGCTGGCAAGCGTCAACGCACACCGCTGTGTGGACGGGCCGTAAGTATTATCTGTCAGTTACCACAAAGAACCTAAATAATCCTAGAACATTTTGGAAAGCCATAACATCGATATCCACCGGTGAAATCCGTAATGAGCTACCTCCGTGCATTACCACAGCATCTGGCACTATATCGGACAGAGCCACCATGTTAAATTGTTTTAATAAGCATTTTGTGTCCTGTGGCTCTCTGTTCGATTATAATATAATAATATTGGGAGGGATGAAACCCTCTTTAATGGTCACACATGCAGAGCACACAGCACACACAGTGAAATGTGTTCTCTGCTTTTAACCCATCCTAGTACCAGGAGTCTAGTACTAGGAGCAGTGGGCATTATGTTACTAACTCTGCTTCTGTGATCACCACAGTCGGTGACTCTGAACAATGTGATCTGTAAAACCCTTTCAGTTTGACTCCTTTTACTGTTGATGTTGTTCATGAAGCCTTATCCAAGTTAGATCCTAAGAAACCGGCTGGCCCGGACAACGTAGAACCTTTCTTCTTAAAGATAGCTGCAGATTGTATTGCTCCTCCTCTCACTACTCTTTTTAACCTCTCCCTCAGCACAAACACAATTCCAAAAATATGGAAGTCAGCGTTTGTCCTGCCTTTACTAAAAGGAGGGGAGGTCACTTTATTAAATAATTATAGGCCAATCTCTAAGTTGTCAGTTCTGGCTAAGGTTCTTGAACGCTTAGTGAGTGAACAGGTAAAGGTGTTTTTATGTACAAATGATATCCTGTCTAAACATCAGTCAGGCTTCAGAAAGCAACACAGCACCATCACTGCCACAATGAAAGTGGTGAATGATGTGGCGAGTATTTTAGATAATAAGCAGAGTTGTGCAGCTCTATTTATTGACCTTTCAAAAGCGTTTGATACCGTCGATCATCGCATCTTAAAGCAGAGGCTACTCAGTATTGCTTTTTTTTTTTATAAAACTTTATTTTATATTATTTGGGCAGTACATGATATACACAAGTTACATTAATAATGCACATAAAACACAATGAATAAATATATAAATAACATAAAGAGAGCACGTTTATATTCCAATGAGACTCAGCTCGGTCACAGACTCAAAACGCCCCATGGCTGAGTCTGGGATTTGTCCAGGGTTTTTCTTCTCCTTAGTTCAGTAAGTATTTGTGTCACGATGGTGCCACTGTTTATGATCGTCTGATTTCGTACCATTTTGCACCTTGTCTTCCAGATCTTCATACATGTGATACAAATTACCAGCTGATTAGTCCCTGTGTTTATTGTCCATCCCCTCATCCAGAATACAATACATGATTGAGATATAATTTACATTGAACTCTAACCCGATGCCCCGTAGGAGCGACCACACATCCTGGGCTCTGTAGCAGTCCATGAGGAGGTGCTGTAGAGTCTCGTCCTCCTCACAGTTAATCATGTAGGCCGCAAGGTGAACCTCGGAAAGTCCTTTAGAAAAAGAAATCCCGCTCCACAGAAGTGGAACTACATAATCTTTAGTTCATAAAAAAGAACGAGTCATGCTTATCCACCAAAGAAAAGTTCGTCGCTAAAATTCCTGTCAATTCTTCTAGGCACGTAATTATTGGCTGAACTAGTCCCTTCAAATCGTAATAATATCTTGGTCAATTTCCTCGTCCCCGCTACTCGATGAAACCATGGCGGTCGCCATTTTTTCCAAATCTGTTTGTTGATACCGGTATATGCAGCTACCCAATTGGTGTAGCACGATCACGTGACGGACCGTGGCACTACTTTTGACCAAGATATTATTACGCTTTGAAGGGACTAGTTCAGCCAATAATTACGTGCCTAGAAGAATTTACAGGAATTTTAGCGACGAACTTTTTTTTGGTGGATAAGCATGACTTGTTCTTTTTTATGAACTAAAGATTGTGTAGTTCCACTTCTGTGGAGCGGGATGAAACGATAACAGGGTTCACCTTATGGCCTAATGGGGCATTTTCTAGTTTTCACATAGCAGCTCCATGAAACCACAGCTCTGACCGCAAGTCTGTTGACTGATATCAGCCACCTCACGTTGTAACAACCGGTGTTTATGTGACCGGTAGTCACTCAAGGTAACGCCCACCCAGCCAGTGATTCGCTGTTGGTTGGCGCCTCATTTCCTTTCCCCCTATTTAGTTAGACGGAGCCGGAAGGAAAATGTGTGTGCAGCAAGCAAGAGGGATCGGCGGAGCAACACGCTCATCTGTTCAACCAGCAGTTAGGTCGTTTACAGTCCGTACCGTTTGTCTGGTCCACCGTCATCCGTCATCATACCTTTGCTTCACGTTCCTGGATTATTGCATACAAAACTGAAAGGAGCCGCTCATCTCACAAAACCTTAAAAACCAGGACTGGATTACTCAAACCGACTGACATTCTCCTGTGGTAATTGACTGTTTTATTTATTTTGAAGGACACCCAGAGTGGAACGTTTTGGATTTACATTTTGAACTGTGGGAAGACGAATTTGTTTGTATTCAAAAATACACTTACTACTTGTGATTATGATTTTGAGTTGTGTCTTTTCTTATATTTTAATGTCATTCAATGTGGGGTGTTTATAGAGAGATATATACACCTTTGTGCAGATTTACAAAAACTGACTGACCAAGCCAAATCTGAAACGTCAGGAGAGAGACCTGACTGGCACCCCAAATAAGTAAACTGTTACAACGTCTCATGCTCTCCGATAACCGTTTACTTTTTTACTAATTTTAAGACTTAAAAATTACTCTATTCGGTAGTCCGATCCAATCAATCTCTAAATGCTGAACTTCAGTTGTGAAGTCACTATAAACTAACTTGTGATATGGTCCATTTCTAGCTCTGCCTCTTCTTTTCTTCCATCCCATTCCTCAACCCAAGGTGCTTTCCTATCGATTGCAGCCGAGATGTTTTTTACAAAGGTAATTTTTATTTTAATGCCTAGGTCTATGGCTCCCAGGCCTCCATATTCCCTACTCTTAAATAACACATTACGTTTAGCAACCTCCCTTGTTGTACCCCACACCAAATTGACACACTGTTTGTTTAATTGCATAATTATTTGGGCTGGTGGGGGGAAGATGTTTGCTAGAAAAAGGATCTTGCTGAGTATGAATGATTTTATTATGTTTATTCTTGATTTATAATTTGTATTTTTATTCCCAGTGTTTAACTTGTTCTTTGACTTCACTTAGTTTATTCTCCCAATTGAGTTCAGCACAGTTGTCGCTACAAATAGTTATTTTAATTTCTTTTTTCACTTGAATGTTAATGTCACATTTGGCATCGTCGGTGCTGATCCAAACACCTTCAGTTTTGCTGTGGTTTAATTTAG